CCTTCTCATCTGGAGCATTTCCAGGAAGTTATGGGTGAATCCCATTTTTCTTCTCCTTCTCGTATTGTCATTACATGTTTTTACAACTTTGGTTGTCTCAGTTCTTGGATTTTTCCATTCTGTTTGTTTCAGTCCCTGTTTTATTTACCTTTAAGTTTCAGACGTTTCTGTTAATACATCCTCAGACATAGAGGTTCTTCTTTCAGTTGTGTCTAGCTTACCACAGGCCCCACAAAAGCATTCTTCACTTCTGCCATTGTTATTTTTGGATCTTCAGGGGTACTCTTGGATTTTTATTAGAATCTCCATATTTCTGCTTCTGCATATTGCTTATGTTTATTTCTTGTGTCGTATTTCTGCTTACATTTCTTCAATTGTCTACTTTTTCATTAAGCCTTTGAATATATTAATCATAGTTTTTAAAAAAGATGATTCCATGAGAGTTTACACATGCCTGTCATATCCAACAGTGGCTCTGCTGTTTGTTCTTCAAACAGTGAATTTTGTGCATTTAGCATGCCACTTAATATTTAGTTGGAAGGTGAACATGAATGGCAGGTATAGCAGTTAAGTCACTACTTGGAATACCTGCACCCCATGTAGAAGTGCCTGGATTCAGTCCTCACTCTACTCCCTGATCTAGCTTCCTGCTAAAGTGCAACCTAGGAGTCAGTGGATGATGGCTCAAATGGTTGGATCCATGTTACCCATTTGGGAGACCCATACTGAATTCTCAGCTCCTAGATTTGTCCTGGCCTAACCCTGACAGTTGAATGCATTTGGGGAAATGAACTGGTGGATGGAAGCTCTCTTTCTATTCTTCTGTTTCTCTTTGTGTGCATTTCAAGTAAATACCTAAAGTCCTTTAAGAACCACATAGAAGGGTCTGGGAAGAAAAAACCAGTAGTCCACAAGTCCTTACTAAACACTTGCAAGGGGTAGCGGAAGTGAGTGGTTTGCCATTCTGGGGCAGGTTTCAGGTGGTAGAGTGCAGGGGAGGTGAGTGGTCTGCCCTTCTGGGGCTGGTCTCAGGTGGTAGGGTGCAGGGGAGGTGAGTGGTCTACCCTTCTGGGGCAGGTCTTGAGCATCTGTCACCCTGGCCTCTGACCCTCTCCACTGAATGGGACAGCATGGCAGAGTTAGAACTGAGTGTTTCCCTTCCTTAAGACAGGTTCATCTCTGCTGAAACCCCAAATGGTGAGACTCTTTTGAGAACAGAATGCTCAACTATATTTCACAGTGGACCCTTCCCCTAGTTCTCTGCTGGAAGCATTAGAGGGTTTTTCTATGGTATTTACTGTGAGAAACTGGTAGAGCTTCTGAAGGCAGAGCCACGGCAGTGGGATTCTTATTCCACCTGGTGTTTTGACTCTCACACTCTACCACACTGAGTCTCCAGGAACTCACCGATGGCAGTGCAGACTGTCCTTGTGTACCCTGGCTGCTGGAGACATTTCTGCTCCTGTAGGTTGTGATTTTCTGATTCTGCCCTCTGTCTCTCTAAGATTGAGGCAGTGGTTTGCCCTATGACCTTGCTTCTCTGATGGATCTCAGCTTGTTGATTTCTCAGCTTGTTCTGCTTTTTCTTTTAACCTCTTGTTAGAATGATGTGGCAACTTCTAAGCCTCTTCCATGATGACCTGGGAGTAGAAGCCTTCAAAAAGTCCAAGCTTTTCAACTACGGAGTCCACAGAACAAATGTTAACTTGACCCTCCTTGATCTCTCTTTCTTTTAACTTCTGGAGGTCTAAAGACCTTTTTAAGTACATAAAACTGGTTCCTGAGTGATGAGGAAATATTTGGTTGTAGGCAACAATGCAGCGCTCCTTTAAGGTGCTGTAGTTTCCCAGAGTGCTCCACAGGTGGCACAGCACAGGGTATGTATTACAAAGAACATAGGTGAGGAATCCTACTAGGCTAGCAACGGCATTACTGGTTGCTATAGGCAAAATGCTGCCTACTCTTTCTTTGCAATAAGAGAAGAAGAAATACATATAGAGAGAGTAAGTAGTTTGTTTAAACTCACACAGTTGGGATTTCAACTTGAATCTGACTTGATAATCATGAAGTACTCAATGTGTATGTCCTGATGAAAATGCAGAAAATCATCATGTTCAATATAGACAAAAATGTGGGAAAACTGGCACTCTCAGGTTTTGTTAGATAAGGATGTAAGCTGATAATGCTTTAGGGATATTTCTACTTTCAGGCTACTGTTCTGCATACCTACCTGCAAATAAATCCATGAATATAAGGATTTTTGTTGTGCCAATTTAGTAGCAGAAAAGAAAATGAATCTAACCCCAAATCTATCAGTTGGGACCATGGCAAAACAAATAATAAATTATGTATTCTATGAAATTCACTGTAGCTGTTTAAAATGTTGGTTAAAGGGGTCAGCGATGTGACTGGTTAAGCCTTTACCATATTGGGTGCTGGCATTCCACATGGGCATCAGCTCAAGATCTGACTGCTCTACTTTGGATCCAGCTCCCTGCTTACCTGGGAAAGCAGAGGAGGATAACTCAAGTACTTGGGCCCCTGTACGCACATGGGAGATCCAGAAGAAGCTCCTGGTTTTAGCCTGGCCCACCCATGGTCATTGTGCACCCATTTGGGGAGAGACATTGAAGATGGGGGATGGAAGACTCCTCTCTCGCTTTGTCCTTCCTCTGTAACTCTGTCTTTCAAATAAATACAATGTATCTTTCAAAAAATGTGGATAAATATTGGGCCTGTTCAACAGACTAATCCTCCACCTGCAGTGCTAGTTTGAGTTCAGCTACTCCACTTCCAACCCAGATCCTTGCTAATGCATTGGAACAGCAACAAAAGATGGCAAAAGTCCTTGGGCTCCTGCACCTATGTTGGAGACACAGGAGAAGCTCCTGACTCCTGCCTTTGAATCAGCCCATCTCTGGTGGTTGCAGCCATTTGAGGGGTAAAGCAGTTGATGGAAGATATTTCTCTCCCCGTCTTTCTCTGTAAATCTGCCTTTCAAATAGAAATGAAAAGATCTTTTAAAATGTTGATTTATATTTAATTTGGATTGTTAAGTGAGACAATATGCATATGCAGTCTCAAATGAATTTTAAAGTCCTATGTGTATGTGTGGATGTAACTGCACAAACACTAGGGTCACACTAGACAGTTGCTAATGGTGACTGCCGAGAAGGGAAAGTGTTGGCAATGGTGATGTGAAGAGGTGAATATCATGGAGGACCTCGATACTTAATGTTCTCTAAGTATCCACAGAATGTGCCAGCCAAATCAGGAAATTTTAGAGTAAAATAGAATCTAGGATTTACTCTTGGACACAAAACAAACAAAAACATGCAAAAAGAAACCCAACCGGAACTCTTTGAGGCAAACAGAGACATATGGTCTTCTTCATATATTCATCACCTCATTGCTTAATTAAAAAAAAAAAACAGTGACATTTTGCCAGCCATCATCTAAGTTGACAAAATAGCAAATCACCTTGAACTAGAATCTTAGGAACTCTGAAAAGAAGACTTGCATGACCTCTGTTATATTATTGAGGGTGTCCTTTAGATACTTCTGCCCGTATATCTTAGCAAATACTTTCTTTGTTGTACGGAGCTCAAAGAATGAGATAGACTAATATGTGCCAAGGAACTTAAGACCTCCTGGGAGGAAAGAAACTGAGGCTCAACTCATTTTTTCTAAACACAAAGTCACAGGTAAGCAATTGCCTTCTGTCCATTGACATAGCCTTGATCCAAAGCCATGGGCAAGAAAGGATCCATGACATCCAAACAGGAACTGACCCTGATTGGCCTAGGTTGTCCACGTAAGCTTAGCACAAGGAACAAAGGCTTGCTCCTTACAGAAAGTGTGAGTTTTGGCTGAAACTCTGAGCTTTCCTGGCAGAGTATCAGCAGAGACCCAGAGCTAAGCACAGAAGGGTGATTCAACAGAGCTCTTATCGCTGGAATCTTGGGTAAGGTGCCTATGGCATCACAGAAAAGGTAACCCAACAAAAAATTATCTCATCAACTTCCCACCCTGCACCATGTGGCTGTGACTGTGAGCTGATTAGATATGATGATATCAGCAATGGAACTGTTCACTGCACTGAGACTATTCTAGAATGAATAAACCCCATAATTCTTGGACAGTGAGAACAGGGGAGAAGCTTTGGGAGGAAGAAACTGAATTTCCAGTTAATGACAGCAGGTGTGATTTTGAGCAACTAATTTATAGCTTGACTATGCCACATGATTCACACGGATTATATTTTTTGAAAGGACTAGCCAGGGGAGAGTGTTTGGTGCAGCCATTACAAAGTACGTTGGGGTGCCTGCATCCCATATTAGAGTGCCTGATTTGAGTACTGGATACACCACTTCCATTCAGTTTCCTGCTGATGTGTGCGTCTGGCGGCAGCAGGGATGGCTCATGAAATTGCATTGCTGCCAACTTTTGGCTTTGCCCTGGTCCAGTCCTGGCTATTGTGGATGTCTGGGGAATGAAGAAGCAGGTAGAAAATTTCTGTCTCTCTTTCTTTCAAGTAAGATGAAGATATAATAAAACTGAACTAGAAAAGCTGACCTACCAGCTTAGCTAGGTAGAGCTAATGGGTTCCAGTGTTCCCCAGCCCAGAGGAGGAACTATCAACACCACACTATATCCTGTGAAAAGAACTGGAACAAAGGGCCTGGCAGGTTCCAAACACAAATGACAAGGAATTGGAAATGCATGGTTCCTGATCCAGTTAGTCTGTAGTATGTAAATGTTTTGAAAAAACCACATCCCACAAAATGTGCAAGTATTACATGATAATAAAAAAAGTGTTAAGAAAATGAGTGGTCATAAATTTACTCTAAGACATTGTGATGGTCATTTAGATTAGTTTAGGCCTTAAGAACACATTGAGGAAGTCAAAGAAAGGTGGCAAAAGGGCTGGAAGAAATTTGGGGTACAGAGAAGTGGGGCATAAGTATAAAGGAGGCAGCCTCTTGGACCACCCTACTCACGGGGCTGATGCGCATTCCAGTGTGTGTATTGCACCGGCTCAGGCTTCTGCCCTGCTCTCTTCCAGCTGTATTCCCCTGTGTCATTTTGGTCCTGAAGAGCTATCCAAAAATAACTGTCCTTGTTTGCCACATTGCTGATCAAACTGGTAATAAAAGCCTGTTCAAACCTTAGAAACGGAAAAAGGAAATGGTCACATGGATTTTCTGGGCAATAAAAAAAAATCATTGAAACCTAATGAAGTGCACAGAATGGTACTGGGATTAGAATTTGTCATTAATTTGCTAAAGCATGCAGAAAAAAATACCCCAAGACTCTGAACATTACTAATAAATGCCAAATGCTAGTACAATTCCCAGAAATACAACAGTACAGAGAATTTGACTCAAATTTTGGCTTAATGTTTTTTTCAGCTCCAGTTTCCTGTGTAGGTGGTCAGGTCTACACAGCTAGGAAAACATTTCTTGGAGTAGGAGGTGGACTGTTCTGGACTCAGACCATACACCACACACCTGCCAGAATATACATGATGTGGGACGTGCAGGAGGGAGAGCAAGGATATCCTGCTGTCCTGAATGAACCTGGACCGAGGAAGAGATCCGTTTACCACCCTGCATCCTTCCCTGGTAAGAATGAAGCAAGGACTAGACTTGCAGTTTTGTGACTCCCAGTCAGTCTGTTAACAGGCACATGGCATCTTTGGCTTGTTCAATTTTGTTCAAATATACATTTTCACTGAATATAAAGTTAAACCTTAGGAACTAACCCAAAATAGTTTACATGCTAGTATTTGCCTCCAAGCAACTGAATTCATTTGTGGTCAGTGTTTGGCAATTTCTGATTCCCCTGAATCAAAGGCAGAATCCAGAAAACGTATATGAATATTTCCACATGCATTTTAGTAGGAAAAGCCAGAGTATTAAATTTTAACTAGTACCAGGCTTTTAAGCTAAATCTAAAACTGTCTTGAGAAATCAAATTTCAAACTATATGAAGTTAGAAGAGATACATTTAAATAGTGATGATGTTTGGTCAGACTTTACGAGTTAATGGCAAATGAAAAACCTGGTGGAATCACCCATGAAAACAAAGGAGAAAGCACGTCAGACTTTTCAAACTCAATTTGGGACTTTATTTTTTTTTTAATTACCATCTTTTCTTAACTTCCTATGGGAAGCAAAAGCAAAGGGGTCATTTCAGATGGGATCTCAAAGGATGTAAGGGAGGAAAGGAGAAAGATAAAATACAAAAAAGTTAAAATGTTTGGGTGCCTTCTGGTTGTCAGTGGTAACATTTAACATTGTGAGGCATGCAAGATGCGTATCTTTCCAGTGAGTAAGAATATTCATCATGCTTTTGTCAATGTTTTCTCCACATAAGTGATCAAGATGGTATATAATTGAAATGAGGAACTTTCTTTAAAGCTGGATTTACTGGCAAGGCCTTATATAAATGTATTTATAAAGTAAGGTAGATGAGTATTAACTAAATTGTATAGATGCTATTTTTAGATACTTTTTCTGGTTCATTCTCCCATAATGCATGATTTGCTTTCCTGATTTCTGCTAAGGCAGCATGGCAGGGTTAGTTGTTGTGGTATGAAAAGCCAGCAAGTTCCTGAGCCACAGGTAAGACACTACTCATTATTCTAAGTGCATCTTCTATTTACATTTCATTATGGAATGTATTGATCAAGGATGGGAAATGACACTGTCTATGAACTTCGCCTGATATTATTCATAACAATATCTTGTTTGTGTCCTGTGTTGGTTGTACATTTATTTAATTCACTGGGAACAGATTTACTTATTCTTGCTTAAAACAAAGGAAACCTTCTGGTTTTTTTATTTGTAATTATGATTTTTATATAATTACATATAATACTCGTCTTAAAACCATCATATCAAACTCTCTACTTCTCTTGGTCCAGTTTAGATGATGGTACTTGCTAGCAAGGAAGTTTAGCAACTTATCTTTCTTCAAAACAATATATTCTAAAAGAATTAAGTGTGGAGTTATACGTTTGATGCAGTGGTTAAAATGCCACTATATCTTACATTGGAGTGGCCTGATTTTAATCCCTGCCCTGCTGTTGATTCCAGCTTCCTGCAAATGTGTACCCCTGGGAGGCTGGAGGTAATGTTGTGACTCCAGGGACTGGGAATCCTGCCCATTGCTCCTGGAGTCAGCTTGGCCCAGCCCTGGCTCTTAGGAGTGCTTGGGAAGTGAATTACAAGATGAGACATCTATCAATTGCTTTCTTTGTTTCTTTGCCTTTCAAATGATAAAAAAAAAAAAAATAAGAAAAACGAAAGGAAGTCTAGGTACTAATATACAATCTCTTGAGTGTTTCTAACAAGTAGAAAAAAACCAGGATAGTTTATACTCACTACAATTCATGATTTGGTTTTAGACACGGAAAGGGTTATGAAAACTCTGACGATAATAGAGAAAAAGACCTTTCAAAGGCTTTTCTGGCTCGATGTTTTAAAATTAATCATAGGAGAACATTCCAGAATTTCATAATAATGGTTATTATTGTCTTAGTTCATGAATTGCTTAATTCAAATATTTTGATTTCAGGAAATGGAAACGACCATTAAAAATACATGTTTTTATATTATTGTTAGAAACAGAATAGTATGTTAAGTATCCTGGGTTAAGTAAAATAAACCTTACTTTTGTTTTTACGGTAAATATTGTACTTATGTGTGTCTACGTACAAAGTGAAGCTTTACAAGAATATATTCTTAGAATTAGAAATAAACCAAGTTCCCAATGAAATCCTTTAAAATTTTAAGAAATCAAGAATGATTTTTAGTTTAAATTTCACATTTTAGTTTAAGAATGCAATTTAAAAATAGTAACGTAAATTTGGAGCATGTGATGACAATTTTTAAATTTCAAACTAAGCATTTTACATTTCAAAAATGCACACTTTAAAGAGGCATTTTATGCTTCATATATAAATGAACATTGTGTTGAGTTTTTTTAAACCAATTTAATTAGAGATGTAAGTTACAGAAAAGAGGAGGATTTCTGTCTATGAGCAATACACTACTTAGCCGACAGTTATATGATCATGACTACTTGTGTTGCTTTAAATGAAACAAGGGATCCAAAAAGTAATAGATTAGAAGTAGCTTTGCTAGAGAACAACTCCAATGAAAAAATGCTGGCAATCTTTAAGTATAATGAGGAGGTTGGAGATCCTGGTGTTTCTTCAGAAAGTCTAGTTGTTAGCAATTTGGGGACTGTTTTCAAGTAAGTGACTTTGTTTCTCAACCACTATAAAAATGATACTTCTTTTCCCAAAGGAGTTTTATTTGTTTGAAAGGAAAAGCTATAAGGGGAAATACATGCACACACACATGCACACACACACACACACACACACACACACACACACACACCCCTTGTCTCACCCACAAGCTCACTTCCTAAATGGCCGTAGCATGTAAGGCTGAGCTGGGCTGAATCCAGGAGCATGGGCTTGAGCCGGGGTTTTTCGTGTGAGTGACAGGGACCCAGTGCTCTAGCCTGCACCTGCTGCCTCCCAGGATGTGCATTTTCAGGAAGCTGGAATCAGAAGCTGAGCCAGAGTTCAAAGAGTGCTTTGCTATCGAATGTGTGTTTGTCCCAAATGGCCTCTTAATGATGTGCCCTGTGCCTGCGCCCTCTCTCTCTTTATATTAAATAAGGAATGAAACAATACCAGTTGTTTTAAAATGGGAGACATGCTTTATAGTCACTATTGACACAAGTTGCTGGTGGCATCCTGAAATTATTTACAGAGTTAGAAAATATGCTTAATATAGACATAAGAAGTCAACCTGGAAGAGCAAATTCTAAACCGAGTGACAGTTTCTTTCAGGAGAGGATGGGGATAAATTGGAAAAAGAAGAGAGAGTGGCCAAAGGAATACTTTTATGTTTTCAGTTTCTCTTCTTCCAGCTTTCATGATTTTGCATCAGTGAGGATTTTTATAGTATCATTTTAAAGAAGATAAAATACATTTAAAAAGAGAGAGTTAACTGCCTCACGCATACACACACATACATACAAACATATGCCCACATGCCCAGGGTCAGACCAATACAGGCATTCATGAAAGCTACAGGATAAAAAATCAACACATAGAAAATTGTATTTATATACTTAAACAATGAACAACCTAAAAAGAGAATTAAATCTTTTAATAAAAGCAATATAAAGAATGAAGTCGTTGGGAATACGCTTAATCATTGAGGTGAAAAACTAAAAACTGCAAAGTGTTAATGAAATAAAGAGCACATAGATAAATGGAAAATCTTATGCTTATGGCTTAAAAGACTTAATATCAGTAAGATGTCCATAGTACTCAAAATGACTGAGCTATTCAATGCAGTACCTGTCAATTCCCAATGATACTTTTTGTAAAAGTAGAAAAATTCATGATAAAATGCATGTGGAATTTCAGGGCACTGATACTATCCAAATCAATTGTGGAAAGAAAGAACAAAGTTGAAAATCTAACATTTCTTGATTTCAAAACTTGTCACAAAGTTGCAGTATTCAAAACAGTGTGGTACCAGGACAAAGGTTAACATAGAGACCAATGGAATAGAATCCAGCCTAGACATAAACCTTCCCACTCAGCCAAATGATTTCCAACCAAGATGTAAGGCAACTAAATGGGGAAGGTGCAGTCTTTCAGCAAATGGTGTTGTTACAGATATCCATTTAAAAAAAATATTTATTTGCTTTTATGGGAAAGACATATATACAGAGAGAAGGAGAGACAGAAAGATCTTCCATCTTCTGGTTCACTCCCCAAGTGGCTGCAATGTCTGGAGCTGATCTGATTTGAAGCCAGGAGCCAGGAGTTTCTTCTGGGTCTCCCATGTGGATTTAGGGTCCCAAGGCTTTGGGACATCCTCTACTGCATTCCTAGGCCACAAGCAGGGAGCTGGAAGGGAAGTGGAACATCTGGGACTTGAACCAGTGCCCATATGATATCCCAGTGCATGAAAGGTGAGGATTTAGCTACTAGGCTGTTACATCAGGCCCATTACAAATTTTCATTTGTAACAACAATGAGATTGGCCCCCCATTGTACCCTGCACACAAATGAGTTCAAGATTTATTAAAGATCTAAATGTGAGAATAGGGATTACTAGAAGTTGAAAG